AAACTGTTACATTTCCTGACCTTGAAGTTGTTAGTTTTTTTAAATTTGTGGGTGCATCATAACCTTAAAATAGTTCATGTACTAAATAAGCCACTAGAGGGAGAAAAGGACATTCCAGATAGATAGGCAGGCAGGCAGGCATAACATTAAGACTCTTGACATGATCATTGAAACATTAATTCCCCTCCTTCTATCCCTTACATGCATATACTTTTATGCTCTTGTGATATTCAACATCTATCTTTGACATAAACTAATATGAAAGAGAATACAAAAGGATAATTTGTCATGGAAATGGATATTCTGGCTAATATTTACAGTCACAGAAGGGGCCTCCTATTTAAAAATATGCCTAATGGTTCTTTTGTGTTCTGCTTCCTGGAATCCCATCATGCTCAACGGGGAGGGAGAGTACATCCTGCTTCATCTGTCTGTCTGTCTGTCCCCATCTCCAAGTAATTTTTCCCTCACTTCAGTGATAACTGATAAACCTTTCATTCCCGACACAAAAAATGCCATACACACCAAAAGGACTTCTATTCCCAACTCTGTTTAAGATATCAAAATCCCACTTAAATACATATGATTAAAGAATTAGTCCCTTTTTTAAAAAAAGGCAAGTATAGCTAAGAGACATCCTAAACCATGGCTGTATATTTCTGTGGTGATAACTTTGTTGTATGTACAGTATCTCCTTTCTAATTTACTTAAATTTATGCTGAAATTAATATATATGCTTATGGAGCAACAATAGACATGAGAGACAGGCAAACTATTAGTTTTTACTTGTAGCAGAAATGGTAATGTATAAATTGAGTTAACCTGACTGTGTTATGCATAAAAGAGATAATCTCATTTTGACCTGGGTTCAGAAGACAAATCTAAATGAGATGCGAGTGCGATATAGTGCAATATGTTATCTAAATTATATATGCACCAGTTCTGACAATATGTTACATAGGGTGGGATAATATTTGGTGTGCAATTTTTGTTGGACTTTACAAAGCCTCTCTTTTGGAAGAAGCAACTAATCTTTCCCCCACGGGGACTTATAACCAGCAAGCGCAAATGTCATACAGTTCATGTTAAACATATGCAATTCTGAACTATTAAAATGGACGGCAATTAGCATAGAAGAAACCAGAAGTCTCCCTTCCCCAAATTTCCAGAAATGGAAGTCAAAAGGAAAAAGCACTCATTTAGTAAGCCAGTTTCTGTTTAGCCTTGATTTCTATTTTGGCTTAGATGAGAATTTAATATAAGGAAGAAATTCCAGCCTGAGATCTGCTGTCTACTAATCCAAGGGACCACCCAAGCCAGAGGAAGACTAACTTGTAAGACCAGGCAAACCCTCCTTGGTCCAACACTATGTGTGCAAAACATGCAAAATTGCACAATAGCATTTTAAGACACACAGACAGATACCACCAGCGTCAGAATTCTTCTGCATATTACTGCGACACAGCTGTTTTCAAGTTTTAGTCAACTTCTTCCATAGTAGTATGCCAATGGAAGATGAACTTTGGTGGTAAAGGAACACCCTGGGAATACCATGAATGACCAAGGGGAAAATGGCTTTGGTAATGTGCAACAGCACCTGAATTGCAATGGCATTACTGTAGGGACACTGTGATGGTCATACATGAGAGTACTATCACTTCTTCAGTGTTGCTGTTGCTTTTTAAACCAATATTTATTAAGTGAGACAAAACACATGTAACATCCTGCTGTTATATGATTGTGGTATTTGGGCCATCCAGATCTGGAGATATTCCACCTTTAACCTTGATTGCGGTAGTAGTTCCCCCTTCAAAGTCTTCCTAGACTTGTAGCTCTTCCTTGAGGTATTGGCTGTGCCTAGGAAGGCCGTTGCACAATTCCATTTGGTGTGTCGCACCCTTTCCTAGATCAGAGGGCCTTTCACATTGTCACAATGCCCTAATCATTTCGTGGCTTGGCTACTGCAATGCTCTCCACGAGTCTATCCTTGAAGACCACCCAGAACTGGTCCAGAATGCTGCAGTTTGAGCAGTCATGTACATCCTTCAGTTCTCCCATATAAGACCTCTGTTTCGTGAGTTGTAATAGTTGCCCTCTTTTAAATTTTACTGATGTTATAGATGTTATGTTGTAATTTCTTTGATTTTATGAGACATCCAGAATTGATGATAGTTGTACTTCTGACAATAAAGAATGTATTTTAGGACACTTCTACATCAGATGTCCCATGTCTAACCTTATGAGGTTTGAGAACATCTGAGAATGGAACTCACAGGGATATAACCACCTGCATAACCTTGCTGCTTTAATCCACCTAGTTCTTTATCTGAATGGGCTTTACTTATTTATTTGAATTTATTGGCTGCCCAACTCCAGTAGACTCTGGAGGCGTACAAAAGCAGAGAAAGCATAAAAACAGCTAAAACATTGAATCGCATAGACAGCCAGATTAAAATAATCTAATGGTCAGCAAAACAACAAAACAGATTCCAGTGAACAAAAGGTTTTCAAAACTTTCCAGAGCCTCAGGAGAGAGGGCACAGTATTTATCTACGTGGGATGCTGTTCCAGAGGGTGGGGGCTATGACATGTTTCCTAGGCCCCGCAGGATGGCAGCATTTTATGGAGGTGACCTGGAGTGCACCCATTCTGCTGGAATGTGCTGGGTGAGCAGAAAGTATTGGAGAGAAGCAGTGTCTCAGATATCTAGGCCCTCTGTCATATAGGGTTTTATAGGTAATGACCAGCATCTTGAATTGCACTCAACAGGCAGTGCAGCTTGTGTAGCAATGGTGATACATGGGCAGAGTGAGAGGTGTCCATTACTGCTTTCATTAAATTTTAAAACAGGTATAATTTCTGGGTGTTTTTCAAGGGCAACCCCATGTAAAGCACACTGCAGTAGTCCAATTGCGAGATGACCAGGATATGACTGTCTGAAGGGCCTCAATCTCTCTCTATACTTGCCTGGAGATATTGCTTTCCAGCCTCTTCTAGCTAGTTTTGCCTGGTTATTTCTAATACCCTGTTCCCCCCAAAATAAGATATCCCCTGATAATAAGCCCAATTGGGCTTTTGAGCTCATGGCAATAAGGCCAAGCGCTTATTTCAGGGTTCAAAAAAATATAAAACAGGGTCTTATTTTTGGGGAAACACGGTACCCATTTTCTATTGAGGAGCTATAGCTTTAAAAAACTTACAGTGCACCCTTCCTATTTTAATTCATGCTATAAAACATAAATCCAACCAGTATTTCCTCCATGCTGATCTATGATCATGATAATATCTTATTATAGTATTTTTTGCAATGTATGTAAATATTTATTCATCATAGATGATTAAATAAAAACACCTTGCCTTCCTGGCATGAAATTATTTACACTGAGCCCGAATCTGTTCTTTTGAAGCAGGGAATAATTTGAAAGAAAGTAATGATTAGTAGGCAACTACTGTATTCCTACCTTTTTAATCATTCACAAGGAAGCATGCAGAGTCTGGATCCAAACCAGGAAATGTCAGGTGGAGAATTCTGGGAGTTGAAGTTCAAAGATTTTAAAAGTTTCTGAGGTTGAAAACCTGATATAAAGTGAGATATAAAAACTTCTCCTGCTTCCTCCCTAATATTCCTATCATCACAGAAGGGGGAATGTTCAGTACAGCACAACTGAGAAATTTGGGATTGTGGAATGGAGGAAGTAATTGTTTACTTACAGAGTAGGCTTCCCAATTAAAATAACTTGGCTCCTTAAAACTAATAAATTCGAGATTAAAATTAGCTGTCGCTGGTGGAAAAATAGGAATACTGTATTACTTGCACAATGAAAATCGCATTGCTTTGTTTTTATAGGCCGTAATAGGTCATCTTCCTAATAAAGGCTTAATTAACGTATCAGCTTTGTACATCTAGTAATTAGTAGGTTAACTCTTATAATAGTATGCATGGAGTTGTCATGTTTAGAAACTGAAACACAGAACATTATAATTTGCTTGGCATAGCATTATGGTATATATGCACATTTAACCATGCACCCATTTGGTCCAATAAGAAACTCCCAGTGGGTTTATAATTCTTCAGCTCTTGAGTTCTTCAACAAGGCTGCGTAATACCTCTAATAAATGTCCAGATTCTCTTCTTTAAATCTCGATTATCACATGCTTATATCATCATCAATCCACACGATGCTTTCCCGGGTTTACAAAGGTAAATATTCTTATTCCACAGACATACAAAGGCACCTAAAGATGCACACACTTTTACACATCTCTAAACCCACTCCATTGAATTCATCAGACCACCACACACCGAGTTATTATTACGCATAGTAGAGCAAGTGGCGCTTTTAAAACAAGCCCATTTCCTTTTTTTTCTTTACAACAGAAGTTTCAACAATTATACTACTTTGGGGATGGTCTTGGTAGTGTTTTACGAATAGTACGCAGAGCTAGGGTTACAGAGATCGTGTCGTTTGCTGGTAGATAACCCACGTCTACCACAAATCCAAGGTCCCAGAAAGAACTGGGTAAGTTCTTTCCGAAGTATACCGGAGACCAGTAAAAATTAGGCAGCGCCAGATAAGTGGATCGGTGACTTCACAGGCGGCTTTTGAGAGAATAGCGCAATTCAGCCGCAACAGCATCTTGTTCTTTTCAGCCCCTGGCTTTCTGCCTCTTTCCGCCTCTTTCCGCCGATGCGATGTATGATGGCAGTAGTAGCCGGCTTGCTTGGGAATAACTGGGAATAGTGGTTTTTACAGGCGCTCCCGCTGAGCTTCTCCGCTCAAAGGGGAAGTGTGGTAAAAGCCCATTTTATTTCCAAGGTGGCCTCCGGCAGACCCCTGAAAGGATAAAACCGAGTGTGTGCGTGTGTTTTGTTGTGTGTGAATTAGAATCTTCAGAATCAGCTCGGAGAGAAGAGTTCCATTTGGGCGAAGGCCGGGCGATCCGTCCGCTCGCTGTTTGTCCCTCGGCGGCATCCTTACGCCAGCCCTGCGCGGGGAAGTCGGCCGCGGAGTGGAGCCGCCGCGTCAGCAGCGCCGCTCCTTGGGTGCCAAGGAAGGCAGTCCCGATCCCGCTCCCAATCCCGGGGCGTCGAGCGGGAGGCGGAGATAGTCAGAGCCGGAGACCTTCCCATACTCTCCCCTCCTACGGGCCCTCGCAGGGATGTGAGCCGTTGAGCCACGGGGGAAGTGCCCGTCTCTGGGGGAAGTGGGTCTCTCCATCGGGGGAGCCGGCGGGGGGGGGGGGGGGGGCGTCGCTCGCGACCGGGGCATGCGCCATGGCCTCGGTGAAGGTGGCTGTCAGAGTCAGGCCCATAAACCGCAGGTGAGAGAGCGACCCCATTCTCTCCTCCTCCTCCAGGCTCCACGGGAGGAGAGAGCCTTGGCGGGTGTCTCTTTATCTTTTTCCGGGCCGGCAGGGACTGAGCACCTCCGAGGGTGATGATACTTGTACGCAACCCTGTGCTGGATTTGCTTGCTTCGCTTTGCCTGCTTTAAACTGGCGTATTTCCAGCGTGACACTGGATAGCCAAGTAAATAATAAGGCTAACTCGAGGCCTGCCAGTGAGCAGGTGGAAATGAAATCCCTGTCCCTGCGTTTAATGGCTGTTTGTTTCTCGGTCCTTGTAGGATAAAGCTGTCATCCCCCCCCCTACATAATTAAACACTAAAGGCACAAGAAGTCTTGATTTCACATGGCCACGGATGAGTGGGCAGGACTTCAAAGCATTTATACATTTATACAGGTAGTCCTCGACTTACAACAGTTTGTTCAGGGCTGTCTTCGTGCATGGGCCTGATGGGCACTTGTCCGTGGGCCCCACGAGCATAGGGGCCCCATACTAGCATCTGTGTATGCTGATCCTTCAATGTACTTTGTATCATATAAATACAGGAACTGTATGGCTTACAAAGTATTATTGTGTTTTTCCAACACCGATCTTGTTGGCAGTGCCAATAAAATATATGTTTAATTTTATCGACCATTTACATTTTTATTCCTGTGAGTAGTTGTCATAGGGGTCCCAGTACACTGCTTTGTCCAGGGCCCATAATGCTGTTAAGACGGCCCTGAGGGACCGTTCAAAGTTATGACGGCATTGAAGAAAGTAATTTATGACCATTTTTTCTTTTCACACTTGACAGCCGTTGCAGGCATCCCCATGGTCACAAGATCAAAATTCAGGAGCTTGGCAATGGACTCATATTTAGCAATAGCAATAGCACTTAGATTTATATACTACTTTACAATGCTTTACAGCCCTCCTCTAAGTGGTTTACAGTATCGGCGTATTGCCCCCAACAATCTGGGGTCCTCATTTTACTGACTTCGGAAGGATGGAAAGCTGAGTCAATTTATGACAATTGCAGTGTCCCGGGGTCATGTGATTCTCTTTTGTGACCTGACAAGCAAAGTCAATGGGGAAGACAAATTTCACTTAACAACCATGTGACTAATTTAACAACTGCAGTGATTCACTTAACGAATATGGCAAGAAAAGTCATAAAAACGGGGCGAGACTCACTTAACAAATAAATTTTGTTTTGTCTGAGCAACATAAATTTTGGGCTCACTTGTGGTTGTAAGACAAGGACTACCTGTATAAGACACTGCCAGGCATATTTCTGTCTTAAAGTATTTTCTGTTCAGAAGATGCATTTTTTAATGTGTAAAAGATAACTTCAGCAAATTGTGATACATTTTGTGATACATTTTCCCATAACTGAAAACCAGTAAATGATTGATTGCTTCCTGTTGGCTGCCTCTAATTCATTGAAATTTAATAATAGATTATGTGGAGAACCAACTGCCAGCAATATATATATATATTAAAAAACCCTCATAGTTGCATAACAAGTTTCAATGTCTTCCAGAATAAATTGTACTTATAATAGGCAAATTCCTCAAATAAGAGAAACTTTTTCTGGCGAGGTTACTCATAACTCTAGTAGAGTTAATAGCAGAGCTGTTTTGATTGCACTTTTTTTTCAAAGCTTACAATAGTTCTTGACTGAAATTTTCCTGTAGTGAATAAAAATTCAGACAATCAAATGGGAACAGTGAGGGAAAAAAATTATGTGCCTTCTTGATTTTGTTTTAGACAGTTGAGATTTTGAGATTTTCTCATCCTTTTTTATGTTGTGATCTATTCAATAAATGATTAAGCAAACCATGCTTTTATATAAAAGCAACAGAAGTACCTGGTTTATTGAACCTTTCACATTCCTCGTACTGTTTCATCAAAGAATACCCTAAATAATTAAATATAAGACATTAATGAACTATTGATGACATCTTAAGTCATAGAAAAATAAGGACAACAGGCTAATTAGATACAATATCAAATTGTGCTACAAATTGTGAAATAATTGCTTTAAAAATTGTCAGATTTAGATGCTTATTTAAACCTCTATTAATGTAATTCTTAAATAATTATCACTTGCGTGTAAATGAATTTATTAAAGTCACCATTATTTTATGTACTTGGTTTATTCCTTGCATTTTTATATTTGCAGTCCCTAGTTTTAAATCAAATGGTCCTCAGCTTACAACATTTCATTTAGTGACTGCTCAAAGTTACAATGGCCCTAAAAAAAGGGACTTATGACTGTTTTTCACAGTTACAACCATTGCAGCATCCCCATGGTCATGTGATCAAAATTCAGAGGCTTGGCAATTGATACATATTTGCAACCAATGAGGAAGCCAGATTCACTTAAAAGTCATTACTAACTTAACAAATGCAATGATTCATTTAACAACTGTGGCAAGAAAAGTCATAAAATGGGGCAAATTCACTTAACAAATGTTTCACTTAGCAGCATAAATTTTGGGCTCAGTTGTGGTTGTAACTCGAGGACTGCCTGTATGCTAAAGGTCTGGTAATGTTTTTTGCTGATTTTATATAGAACATGCCCAATGAGAGAGCAGAAGCTACTTAGTACTTGAATCAGAGACTCAAAGAAAATATAAGGGTTAAATTGCAATTGGATACTTAAATAAATATATTTTCTAGTGCCAAGTAAATGTATTCTTAAAGTCAATAGGATCAAATCAAAGGAAACTATTATGGAATGTTACAGTATTGTGTGCCCACAATTTCCCCCCCAGTTTCTTAGTTTTTTTGTATCACCAACATATTTTGTGCATCAGTCTTACATAATAGTAGGTTGCAAATACTGCTATAGCTTTTTCTTTCTACAAAAAGCCCACTTTGTAAATATGCATTTTGATGCATTTATTTTTTGGAGAATCTTCTATTTTTTCTTTCTTAGTAGTTTTGATAAATGGGGTTTGGGATGTGCACTGTTGGTTTTTGGTCTATTGGTTTTCTACCCATTTAATTTTCAATTGCAATCCAGTATCTTATTATCCTTTCCTAATCAATAGCAAAAGGTCAAGGCTAGTCTTTATGGCCTTGTTAGTAATGCGGTGTCAGTAATGGAGGCAGAGAAAGTTATTTATCCATTATAAAATTAACTGGAATTGTAACCCTGAAGCTTTGTTGCTTCTTGTAACATTTTTTGAAATACTACTTTATTATAATGTGTCGAGGAATATCCTTGAGGAATTTGCCCATTGATTATAGTATTGATTATAAGTTGGGTAGTTGTATTCTGATGGTTACAGAATTCAGTACAACAAATTATATTGTGGCAGAAAGACATTTATAACTCAGCTTGAGAGTCAACTATGTTACTACCAGTACCGTAAACTGTTTTTCCTATTCCTTGAAGAAAGAAGGTTTCAGAGTAAGACTCAAAAAAACACCTAGGAATATTATCTCAGAATTTCTGAAGGATTATATAGGAGTACAAAATAGGTCAAAAGAAAATTAGATCCTTGATACATAAAAATTGGCTATAAACCCCCCCCCAAAAGAACTGAATGAAAAATGAGGAAAGCAATATAATTTCCATGATTTGGTTCCTTAAATTTGGTTCTTTGAAACAGCAATTTTAAAAAGAAAATTTCAATTCTGTTATATTGCATAGCTACTTGCAAGCCATCCAAAACCTCTCTGAAAAGTCAAAAAAGTGCCTCTTAAATATGTCAGGTAGAGTGTTGCAAGAGGTTAGAAACACCTCAGATGACCAAAAACAATTCTCTGAATGTTTCTTTTCTTCCAATTCTCTTTCAATTCTGTTCTAAAAAGGTTAATATGAACACAGGGAGCTGAAGAAAAGAGAAGATAGACATTTTTGTGAGAGGAATGAAATTAAGATTCAAGTCCATGATTGTTTTTTACTTTTCCCAGACTATTTATCTACCTTCATTATTATGGAAAGAAATGTATGTTGCAAGAAGTGAAAAGTCAGTCTCTTGGAGCAAATTCTGTGTAACAATGTCACATGTAACTTCTTTAGATGAACTTACATTAAGAATTTTCAGATAAAAATGACAGACATTATCTCTTTACCTTTGAACTTTTTTTTAAAAAAAGAAAAGGATTTTGTTGTCTTGATTTCTTTGAAACAGTTCTAGATATTAACTTTTTTTCTTTTTTTTATACCATTCCTTTTAGTAGAGGTTTGTTCAGTTTACAAGAATGCAAAATAGACTTAAATAAAATCATCACAAGAAGAGAATGCTTAAATATAATACATACAAAAATTAAAGGTGGTTTTATGGACTGTACAGAAAAGCAAAATATTAGTTCTTGATGGCTCTTAAAAGTGCCTGGGTAATCAGGGATGTCTGTAATTAGTGATGTGCAAATGTTCTAATACAAAGCAAAAGAGGTGGGATGTGGACATGCTCACTGTACTTGTCAGCCTCTCCTTAAAGAAACTGTCTTTTCCTTGACTCACATAGCAGCTGCAGGATCTCAGAAAAATACATGTTTGAGTTAAGGAGGTGTTGACAGGTGCAAGAAAATTGTATCCCGATTCTTTTTCCAAATCTCTGTTACTCAAACAGAATAACAGACCTGCACACTTATTCTAATGAGGGTAGGAAAAAGTACATTTTCTTAAAGGAAGCATTTGCAACGTTTTTCTGTTTTGGATCCAAATAGTTGTACATCTCTATCTTCATTTGTTTTTATAAAGATGACGGCATAGAAACTAGCTGAATGTCCCTTAGGAGAGAGTTCCATAATTGCCTCTCCAATTATGGAAGCCTATAATTAATTTTAAAAAAACCATTAGTAGTCCAATTTTATTAACATCATCTGAGGAGACACTGCTCAAGATCTGGTGAGCCAAACCTTCTGGTAGAATAAGTAATATCCCTCAAGATGATCAATGCATAGATTGAACTTTATGGAGGGAGTGCTTTTATTATTAAAGTTCTGTGATTTCATTTAGACATCCCCCTTAAGAATCAGACACCATTTGAAGCTTCTGAAACATCTTCAAGGCTAGTCCTATATACTGAATATAAAAATAAGCTAATAGGATAATTACCAGGGCACATATCCTGGAGGCTAGGATTTAGCCTTCAGGATATAGCAGAGAGTTGAAGGTGGTTCCTTAGCTGAGATAAACATAGGGTCTCTTTGGTATTGAGGCTAACTGTCTCTCTAGTAACAGATAAGACTCAGGAATATTTAAGATATACAATTGTTCTCTTGGAAGGAAAGCACTCTCATCTATTAGAGGAAGCTTTCCTAACGCTTAGAGCCGAAAACAAAATTACTCAATTATTCCATCTAATATGGATTCAGCTTATGTTTTTTGGACCCCATCCATTCCATTAATGTTTCCAAGCAACTTTTAAGCACACGTATAGTCTTTCCTTATTAAAGTAGAAAGGAGTTGAGTGTCACTAAGACACTGATGAAACCAACATCTGGATAAACACCTCCAGCGATTTGAACATCAGATTAAATAACAAAAATATCTCTGAGTTCCCTAATTTAAATACAAAGTGTCCAGATAGAAGTTTCCCATTACAACTTTTTGGTTCCAGCCCTGCAGGTAAAGCCAGATAATATTGTCTTTCCAGTTCCATACCACTAAGTTACTCCAGCCATATGCCACAATCAGTCATGTTAAAGAGCTCTGAGAGTCAATGCTGTAGCACACTCCATGTCTTTCTCTCTCCCTGTATGGTGATTGATATGGGCAACTAAGCAGTTTCTGGGCTGTTTCCACCCTAAAGTGAGAGTGAAATGGATATAGATAATTGGTTTCTTCCACTTATGTTTGTATCTGGATGACCAACACTTTTTAAAAAATTGGTTAGAGTTTATACTCCAATCTAAAGGGACTCTGAGCAGATAATATACCTCACTTATACAAGTGAAGTTAAAATTCAAAATAAACATGACAAATTATAATTACAAAACTTTGGTACCCTAAGTGTCAACCATGAAACTATGACAGGAGCACACTACTTATTATCACTGTTTCCATATTTCAAAAAATTAGATTATAACAGATTTCATAAAATCTGTTATAACAGGATGGGAGCTACTTTGATCTCAGGAAATATGCTGTTCCAAAGAAAGAGGGCTGTAACCAAGAAAACACTACTTCTCTCAACTAATACTAATTGGATACTTCCCCTCAGGGAAGAGCAGAGTCATGTAAAAGAGTGTCTACTGTTCCCAACCCTTGGAGATATTCCAGGGAATAACAGATGAACGGTATCAAAAGCTGCTGAAGGGTGAGCTCAGTATAGATAATCTCACAAAATGTAGACTGAATCATCTCCATAGGACTTTTCCAGTTGGACTTGAGCTCCAAGTCTATTTGATCAGTTTTATTCTTCTAGTGTCTTAAAAACTCATTGCACCCCAACAAATGTTTTTCTAGCCCATCTTTCAATAAAGAATACAGTCACTTAGTATTTTATTACTCTAATTTCTTTTGCTTCATTTCCCTGTACTACCTGTACATACCCATATAGACCCTACTTGTTATATCTTAACAGCCACAAATACAAATGCCTGGAGCACAGGTACTTGTCCTAAACCACAGTTAGGACTGGAATTTTGGTTGCTAAGTGCTGCAATGACTGGATCTAATCACTATAGTCATTAAGCAAATCATGCGGTCATAAAGGGATTCCAGCTTCCTCAGTTGACCTTACTTGTCAGAAGCCAGCTGGGTAAGTTACAAATTGTGATCCTGTGACCACAAGACACTACAATCATGATAAATGTAAGCTGCTTTCCAAGCATTTGAATTGCAGTTACATCACTGGGAGTGCGGTGCAATGATCCTAACTTCAAGGATGGGGCATAAGTCACTTTTTCCAAGGCCATTATAACTTTGAATGATCATTAAACAATTATAAATCAAGGACTACCTGTAAATTCTTCCCATTCCTCATTCTTATGGCTTATGCCGATTCTGTATTTGCTCAAGCATAATTGTTAATAAGAGAACAGGCAGAGCAAGGAACATCCACCAGTCACCATATTTCTGTGCGTCTGATGGTCTGTGTCAGGGTAGGAAGGACACAGGAATTAATGCAGACATACACAGTGTTCTGTCAAAGTGATGTGTTATTGTTACAGGGCAAATAAAATAAATGGTGCGTATATTTCTGTATACAATGATCTTAGCCAAGTAATATACAGTACTTAGGAGTTCCTTTTTCATATAGCTGCTAAATTTAATCATGGCTTTGTTAACTATTAGCTTGGTAGTGCTTTCCCTTTCCAGTATTGGCTAGAGAAGAAAGGGAAGAGGAAAAAAGAGCTTTTCCTGAACCTCTTGAAAAGCCAACACCTTGGCCACACTTTTCCAAGCACTTTCCAGTATCACTCTGTTACTTGCAGCAGCCAATCTACTCTGCAAATCTCACTTTCTAGCACTGCTTTCTCCTGCTGGGTCTTCAGATATACATTTCTCCTTCCTTCAGAGATCCTCCTTCCAGCCACATTGCCTGCTTTCCACCACAGCTTCGATCCTTGCTCCTTGAACATCATATAGTTCTTTCAATCTCTGATGGCTCTGCTCCTCCTAGATCTTGAACTAGAAGTCAGATGTACTTGTTCACAGGTGCTTTAATTAATCTAAGAACCTTCTAGCTATTTGCATGACATCTGGCAAACAGACAAAACTCTTAACCTTGAAGCAAATTACAACCCTGTCTCAGTTATGACAGTGTCCTGCCACAGCCTGATCTCTTATCTTTCATTCTTCCTCACTGTCTCATAGCATTGCTAATGACGTTATATCTGGACAATCCCATTTGTCCACTTTCAAAAAGATGTATTTTTACCAAGATCAGGTAATTTGTATAAATGAGTAGCACAGTTAATCTAAATAATTTATCCGGAATTTACTTCCTCACTAAAATTAATATAATCAGTATACTAACAATAATATACCCTTCCTACTCTTGCACTTTCACATTTCTCCTCTCTGTACTTCCTGTGGTACTCCATGCATATATAATAATACCTTGGTGTGTTACATTCAATATTAATACTTTGATGTATGGACAGAATTCTAAATAACCAAATTCCATTCTTTGGTCCTCTGTTTTTGATTGTCTGAGACCATGTGCCTAATCTTTTAGAGAAGTTAAAGTGAGTAGAAACAGTAAGGCAGATAGAATTGTATTTTGGGACGATGAGAAGGGGAACTTAGAACAGATTAGCTGGAGAAACTATTGATCTGTATGATTCAATTTAGACAGTGACCTCATTGTAGAGCATATCAAAGCAAATAAAGACTTCTCAAGAGAAGCTAAGGGACATCATAGAGACCACACAGTGAAAAAATGTAAAATAAGTAGACACGGAAGAACAGATTTGCTTCGTACAATTTATGTTATGATTTATGTAATGGTCTCCCTTCAGCAGTCTTGGAGAGCAGATTCAGCAAAATTCTATTAAATGTTATGCCCATGTGATTCAGGTGAAATTAAATCTATGGAACGTCTTTCTATGCTACTTCAGCTGTTCTTTAAGAAATTGCCTGGATGAACTGAGAATTTGTATGAATTTATATAAGTTATTTTACAGCAGACAGAGATTCCAAAGTTACTTTCTAGTTGTCAATTTTGGCTTCTTAGCAATAAGCGTGTGCTCTTTAGAAGATCAACACTCTTGTATCAGATAACTGTCTCAATATTATTTGGGTGGACTTGAAGATGATAAAATGTTTATAACTTTATTAAGTTTGGTCTATGGTCATAATAAATGTTAATTTACTATAGTATTTTGCTCTGCAGGGAACAGGAGCTAGATGCTAAGTTTATTATTTCAATGGAGAAAAATCAAACACAAATCACAAACTTAAAGGTGAGTATGTTCAGCCACAATAGAAACATTTTTATTTTAGTTTATCATTCTGATTTTTTTCTTAACAAAATGTAGCAGACAAATCACCATCAGAATTTAAAACCAGAGGATCAGGATGAGAGCCATGGTGGCGCAGTGGTTAGAATGTAGTACTGCAGACTACTTCTGCAGTTTGTCAGTTCAATTCTCACTGGCTCAAGGTTGACTTAGCCTTCCATCCTTTTGAGATTGGTAAAATGAGGACCCAAATTGTTGCTAACTCTGTAAACCGCTTAGAGAGGGCTGTAAAGCACTGTGAAGCGGTATATAAGTCTAAGTGCTATTGCTATCATAAAAGAAAAAAGATTTGAAGAATTTAGTAGTACCTGATATACGGAAGTGGTAATTTTTATACACTAATAGTTTATTTATTTATCTAAAACACTTATACTGCTGCACATTTTATACCAAACTCTAGAGGGCTCCTGAATACTTCCTTTCTTGTCTTTGATGTTTGGAAGGCATAAAGGCTAGTATTATGATAACCAGGCTATCAAACAAATAAGTAGGCTTGAGTGTTTTCATTTGGGGGATGGTACTTTGTTATAGCTGTGGTTAGTTCATCCAGAGATATCAGTACACCCTATGTTTTGTTTCATATCAATAACGCATGAGAAACTGGCTAATATGTGTCGATAGCCACAAAATAGAGAGTTAGCTGCTCCAAGCAGATTGCATCTTGCCCATCTTCAATTCAATTAAAAATGGATACAATGTATTTAACCTGCATTTAGTAAGCAACTAAAATATATGGCATGTTAATTTTATTTGCTTTTTAAAATTAACTTTTCCCCCATTAATCAAAGGGCATTCTAATTGTAATAATTAGGAATTTAATCCTCCTTTTTTGTTTTCTTTTCTATTGTACTCCTGTTAATTCTGTAATCTTAATGTAACTGATAAAAGGCTAGAATATCTATTGAATCAGCCCATTAATTTTGAAAGAAATGTAATTCGATCACCTCATTCTCTTCCTCTGAGTTTGGCTATGTTCTTAGAAATGGTAGGAGTGATTTGCCAATCCTCATGGATAAACAAGTGCAGGTGGGGACTCTATGGAATAAAATTAATGGATATATTAATAATATAGGAGGTGAGTAGTGGAGGATAAATTTTTGAAAATTGCTTTTCTTGAAGTATTTTTAAATATTTAAGAAACAGATGCGCACTAGTAGATTCACCTTACTACATATTCACCTCACATTTTTTTTAAAAAAATGTACAGTGATTATCTTAATATAGAATGCAGTGGTAATTTGTTTGTTCATTCACTTATTAGATCCCAGAGGGAGGAACTGGGGACTTGGGAAGAGAACGAACAAAAACATTTACGTATGATTTCTCCTACTTCTCAGTTGATCCTGAAAGTTCAAACTATGCATCTCAGGAAATGGTAGGTTGCTGACATTAATGATACCCAAAGTGAAAACATATTGCCAGTGTTTACTGTGTGAATGTTGGAGAGATGATTTTAAAACTGCTTATTTCAACTGTTTAATATGTACAAAATTACCTACACGTGTTGGCCATGCACATTTGTAGGTATATATATTTCCATTCCTAGGCACACATACTGATTCTTTTACACTGTGATCTTCTGTTCTGTTTGGCCAGCAATTTGAAATCATGTAAACCTGCAATTCTATCACAAAATGTCTGTTAACTACTTTGAAACTTTGCTTAGAAACTATTGTGGTTTAAAAAAAAAAAAAAAAAAATTCTGATGTGTTGCATTGGATTTTTCTTTCCTTTGTGTATGTAAAGGAATATAAATCATGTTTATGGTTTTTGAACAGATGTTTCAGTTTTATCAATAATTAACCTGGGCATGAGTCCAAAAGGATAAATTGTTACTTCCACATTAATGACCTTAAGTTTAACTTGTATAATATTCATGTAGGCTTCTTGGGTGATAAGTTGTAAATGTTAAGACATATTCCTTGCAATATTTTCATGTCCTTATTATAATTCAAAAAATAAATATTTTTTTAAAGAGAGTTTTAGAGTTAAAACTCTAAAGAAAAAGAAAAAGAAATAAGGAACCTGACCTGATTCTTAAGAAGAGCATCCAAGATTATATTATAAAATATTGTACATTGCTTATTGTACATTTGGGGAAATATATGAATTATATTTCTAAATAAATATTTGAACTGACTATCTCTAATAAATGCTTGCTAAGTTAGTGTTCTTACAGTATGTTGTACTAAAATGATTGCAATAGTTTACAGAAATGAATAAAAAACATACTTTAAATTGTATTTTGAAATTGTATTTTACTTCTGACATTCTTGGATCCCCAGGTATTTAACAACCTTGGAATTGATGTCCTCCAGTCTGCCTTTGAAGGTTATAATGCTTGTATTTTTGCCTATGGACAGACTGGATCTGGGAAGTCTTATACAATGATGGGAAATGCTGTAAGTTATTCATTTCAGAAAAAAACTTTTTATAAGTTGATGCCTTTTGTATTATATTTATTTCCCCATTTGGTTTCCTTAGAAAACAGATAATTTTAACAAATGTTTTACATGTAGACAGTTCTAATAACATCTGGCACAGATAAAAGCAAGAATTAAAAAACCAATTTCATTGTCCATCCCATACTTTAGGGAGGCTGCAGGAGATGCATCTTCTTGGTAGTGATCTTTATCTTATGTGACATCCTTCCTCCCAAGATATGGTTAGTCCTGATCCTGATGGCATTTAGAAAGGCTGTCAAAACCTTTGAGATATGATCTCTTGGAGTCCCAATTAGATGAGAATGTTATTTATTTGGATCAACATTTTATTATTTTATTATTGTGTATTGGTTTTTATATTCTTTTTGTTAGGCTCTGTAGAGTTTTATATATGCTTCCCAGACTTATTTTGATTGAGCTGGGTAGCCATTTAAATATTTTAAACAAGTTAACTTGTTTATTTACATTTTCTAAGTATAACTAGACATGTGAAGAGTTATTTAGTGATACTGGCTTCCCCAAATTGTGTACATGGGAAACAATGAGTGATTAGGCTGAGCCCAAGGGAGGGGTTAAATAGGCCATCACTTTGGGCCCACAAGATATCTAAGTTCTTCCCACCTTGAAATCTGTTGACTGTTACCTATCACCAATTTGTTTTGACAATTAGTAGTTCAGTTTTTTGTAGAGAGCTTAAGCTTGAAATAAACATACATATTCGTTTGAACTGCCTGGACTCCTGATTTTCTGGACTTAACAAGGAAGGTGGGAAAGTGACATTTGCTCATTCTTTTGTTCAACCTCCTCTAATAAAAAAATAAATTCTCTCCACTACCCAAAAGACAATTTAGAAAGATACAAATTGCAAATTGAAAAGACTTGTTGAAATCCAAGTGTTTCCCATTTTTGAATGGAATATTTTTGTATCAGTGACTTTTTTGTCTTGCAGTATATCAACGTATTATTTTTTGTAGGGAGATACAGGTTTAATACCTCGGATCTGTGAAGGATTATTCAAACGAGTAAATGAGAAAACAAGATGGAATGAAGCCTCCTTTCGAACAGAGGTCAGGTATGTTTGCGTAGTGATATCATGACTATATATAGACAGAACAGTTTGTTTGATTTTGTCATCATCATTATCAACATAGCATCTCTTTCTCCTTGTTTGCTGGATTTTTCTTTCTTCATTAGAAGATTAGTTCAAGAGAACATATTTATTCAGGGGGAGGGAAGAATTTTCAACAGTCAGCATGTAGTGCAAGAATAAATGAAACAAAGGTTTCTGAACTGATTTATCTTTTAACTGAGTTACCATTCTATATCTTTATTTAAAAATGAAACAAGCATCCTCTCCACAAATTCTGTTCTGTTTAGAGTCCATAAATGATTGTTTTGCTCCATCTACTGCAGTCCTGTTTACACTGCTTAAATACTGCCCATGAGAACTGATCAACACGTTAGGCCAGGGGTCCTCAAACATTTTGAACAGGGGGCCAATTCACAGTCCCTCAGATTGTTGGGGGGCCAGACCGGCTGGGTGGGCATGGCTAGGTAGTCATGTGACTGGGTGGGTGTGGCCAATTTAGCAGTCCATTTTGTCAATTTAAATTGTTTAGGAGTCTAGTGGTCCACTTCAGGAAACTCAGTTTTGCAGAAATTCTCAGCCCCAAGGAGCTTACAATCAACAAGTCTCTGTGTGTGTGTGTCTCAGTGTGTGTGTCTCTTGTCTCTCTCTTTCCTTCCCTTCCTTCCTCCCTGTCTCTCTCTCTGTCCTGGGGTGGGGGGAAGGAACCCCTGAACTGCTGAGCGGGAATCTGATATCCAGAGTGAAGGCCGGTGGGGAAGCGGGGCAATCCCACAGTCTCCCCAAAAGTAACACATCTCTTGTCATTTAAAATTTGAAGACTCAAAGCAGCCCTTACCTCCTGCTGCTGAGGCTCAGAGGTGTAAGCTGCATCCAGAAAGTACTGTGATGCAGAGAAGCGGCTGGGGTCAATCCTAGCTATGCTGTTGATTGCAGCCAGGAATCGGCCGGCTGGACCTCCATGCATGCCGGATTGGTGAGGATGCCTCTCCATTTTTTTTTTATTGAAAAAGTTTTCAATTACAAATTTTCCCCCTCCCCCCCCCCTCCCCCCCCCCCCCCACCACCCCATCCCCCCTGTGACTTCTTCAAAATAAAAATCTAATACATAACAGATTATATAATATTTTAACATCCCCTTACTCCCTCCTCCAAATACTGACCCTTACTTCTAGTGATATTATTAATATTATTACTTCCCCCTCTTACCATACACTTCAAAATAACATTCCATTCTAACACTATATAATAACTTCTAATTTAACACAGTAATATTATTATAACTCCCAATTTATCGATAATCTGCCCTTTTTTCTCCTCCCCCTTACTTATGTCTGTGTATTAATATATAAAAACAACCTTCCACTTTAAAACTATATAATAAATCCTACTTTAACATTTAATCTTTTGTGTATATTAACATGACATTTCAAAGCAGCCTTCCCCATGAACATTTGTTCTACTCTATCCATTTCCTCCACTCCCATAAATATATCTCTTAAGCATCCCTTTTCTTAATCTATACAATCAATACACTAGCCTGTCACCACCCACTTTCCTACAAAATTACCATACACAACAATTCTTAATATCTTTGTTCTTCTGCCCATCCTACTAAAAAGTATTCCCTTATATAAACAAAATCAATGACTTTAAACTTATAAACCATATAATATCTTCTTTGATGTCTTTCCACTGGATCACTGACTCCATCATCCGGATTAGGGTAACATAACATCCCAGTTGCAACAAAATATTCAAAATCCTCAATTATCATCTGCCCCCAACAATAATGAATATCTTTGTATATATATATAAAAAAAAGAACAACCACCCGAGTGACTTTATAATTGTAATCCATATAATATCTGTAGTAGTGGCTTTCTTCAGGATTAATAATTCCCATCGTCATAATGGGGTAACAGCCAGATCTTCTGCATGCCCCAGCATGACTCTCTTGCCTTATAGCTCAGCATAGATATAATACATTAATCAATGAAAAGAAAACCAAAATAGATAATTCCAATCCAACAATTTAAGGCCCCTGTCACATCCCAAAATTACGGCATTGCAGAGGTCTGTCACTCTCCTCAGGATGATATTAACCACTACTTCGCCTCAACCATCTTTTCATATATTCAATCATGTATTTTTTAGAAATAACTGGCTTCGCTGTTGCTTAATTTAGAGATTTTTATTTTTGTGAGACCTGTTTCTCTTTTTCCTTTCTTTTTGTGGGTTTGATCTCCATCCTAATTTCCTTTCTGCAAGTTGTGTATCAACTGATCGGTTTTCATTCTGTTTTATGACTTGATCTTGTTGGTTTTGCTTTTGTGAGTCATATTTCTTTTCTGTAAGTTGTGTATCAATTAGTTGATTTCCATGGTTGCCTGTGACTTGGTGAATCATCACGTTGGAATCCGATGCCACTTCTCTCTTATTTGTAAATAATCCAGCTGAGGTATCTGGAGAATCCAAAGGCAATTCATCTACAAAGGCCTCTGTAACTCGATATTTTTCCTTTATTTCTAACTCCTTCTGCTTGTCTTGTGTTGTGCATAAAGATGTTAAGTTCATTTTTAAAAATTTTTGATAGAATTCTTCCGCTTTTTCAACAGTATTTAATTGATATCTTTCTCCTTGATATCTCAATATTATACCAACTGGAGCATTCCATCTGAATAGGATATTTCTTTTTTTAAGCTCAGCCACCAGAAAACCAAATTTCTTTCTTTCCAATAACATCTTAGGCGGTAGTTCTTTATATATCCAAATCTTTCTTCCAAACAGTTCCAAAGTAGACTTAAAAGATTTCTGCACAATATTATTTCTTATTTCCTTATCTGTAAAATAAATCACCACATCTCTAGGCAATTGCCTTTGCTTTGCAATCCAGGAGTTTATTCTATAGACTCTATCGATCCTACAAAATACCTCCTCAGGTTGAACCTTTAAAATCCCAGCCAGAACTTCAGAAGATATTTTCCTTAAGTCATCTCTGTTATTTTCCTGTAATCCTCTCAGTCTAATCGCATATTCAGTAAAATTATATTGCATCATTAAAACTTCCTTTTCAATACGTTGTTGTATATTTTCTACATTACAAATCTTTGGATCAGCTTCCATTTTAGGTTTTTCTTCTAAACTGTTGTCTTGAATGTTTATCAAATCATTTTCAATTTTCTCTATTTTATTTTCCAAATTGTCCTCAGTTTCCTCCATTTTAGATTCTAATAGATTAATATTTGTATCCAACTTGATCAAAAATTCTGAGAAACCATTAGCCATTTTTATGATCTTTTGTTGCAAAATATCAAACTTTAATTGCACCAATTCTTTAGTTTCCTGCTTAAATTTCTCAAAGTTCTGATTCATAATCTCATCCCTTCTTACAATCTCCTCCAGAAGAAATTCAATTATATTAAAATCAGCTTTCTGAGACTGTAAGTTAAGAACTTGTTCATATAGTTTGTGGATGGGGGAATCCCCCCCCCGCTTGTTTGTCCGGCTTTGTAAGCCTAAACGCCATATTTCCACACAGGCAAACTTTTTTAGAAAGGAAAAAAAAAAAGCAAAGCTTCTTTCCAAACGAGATCAATATCAAATCAAATCTCCAGGAAGGAGAAAACACAAAAGTGGAGCTTTTTCTTCAATTGTAGCCAGGAGCATTTATTCCGCTACTTTGTGGCTTAATAAGAAACGGAAGGACTTTCCCTTTTCAGCTTCCCTGCTCAAATTTCGGCAGTCGCCATTTTAAAAGTTCTTTTTTACTTTATTCAATATCCTTTCCAAAATAAGTATAAATACTTGCAATTTAGGGTCACAGGTCCAGATCCAGATCTCATCCTCTTTGCTTAATCTGTTAGTTATCTTGAAAAGCTTGTTTTCGTAGCCTTGCTCTGCATTTTGCAGAGGTCTCCCAACGCCCGGAGCAAACGGCGAGTGATATAGGGAGCCTCATCCGCTCGCCCCCAAGAGTAAAAAAAAAACTCTGGGGGCTACGCGGAGAGCTCTACCTACACTCACCTGCTCTCTCTCACATTTCCTCCTGGAAATGGAGTTTTTCGAGCCGCCTTTCCGTTGTAAAGGCGGCTCTTTACAGGCGATGGGGCTGGCGGTCCCAAGGGACTGTCTGGCGGCTACAAAAAGCAAACCGGAAGTCCAGGATGCCTCTCCATTAAAGTGGCCCAGCCAGTCGCCAGCCTCCCCCTTCCCACTGGGCATGCAAGCGCTTCTGGCGAGAGGAGGAAGAGAGGCGCTCGCAGTGGGAGGAGGCTCAGTGGGTGTCAGAGGGGTGGCGAGCGCTTCACGGCTCCTGAGGGAGGTTGATCCTCCCCGCTCGCAACATCTGAGGGCGTTGCTGGCAGCTGCTTCCTGCAGCTCAGGAGATCTGCGCTCTCCCTGCTGCTGCTCAGCCTCCTCGATAAGTGGAGGCAGGAGGTGGCCACGGCATGGTCCGGGTGGCGAGCAGCCGAGCGAGCAAGCCAGCAATCTGCTGGCTGCCTCTAATCTGCCTACCCGTGCCTGGCTCCTTCATCCTCAACTGTGCTGCCCCCTCGCCTTTCTCCCCGCCTCTCCCGGCCAATGGTGCTCGCAAGTAAACAGCTAGGAATCTCAAATATGGCCAAGAATGAACATTTGTGTTGTAGCCGCTGGCTGGACCTACTTAAACAGGCGGCCAAGCTAAGTGCCTGAAGGACCCCATCCCATCACTGGGAGTCCAGGCTACTCAGCAATTGGAGTTCGCAGGGGGCCGATCTAGCGCCTGGGCTGTCTATAACACAACGTTCATTCTCAGCCATATTTGAGATTCCTAGTTGCAATGGACAGCAAAACTAGGGCTGATCTCGGAGGCTTCTCTCCACCGCAGTGCTTCCTGGACGTGCAGCTTACAGCTCTGAGCCCAAAGCAGTGAAAGGCGAGGGCTGCCTTGGTGCCACCAGCCTCAGGCTCTTAGTGATCCATGGAGGAAGCGCTTGAGTGCAGGCGAAGACAGCAGAGATGGACGGGAGGTCTGACAGCACACATAGCCCCAGCGCAGTGCTCTTTTGAGGGCCGTCTGCTTGCCCTCCCCTCTGCCTCAGGCCCCGCATCCAGCCCGTGACCGGGGATGCACCGCTTCTGGGCTAGTCTGGCTGGTGGGTGGACGAGCCGAAGACCAGCTGGCATGTGGGGCATCACAGTACAGGCAGCCTGCAGGATCTGCAGAAAAAGCGACTGACATCCAGGAAGTGAGAGTGAGTTGTCGCTGCTGCTGCTGCCATTCCAGAGGCAAGTGGGGCAATATCTCCCTCATTGTGAAGCATGGTTTTTACTGTGCTGTGCAAGGTGCTGCAAGAGCAGCGGGCAGGCCATGGAGACAGCAACAAATGTACTGCCATGAAGGCAGACTGCTGTGCCGAGTAAAGGCAAGTTCAGGGGCGCTTCGCTCCCATGCGCGTTAGTCCATCTGCTGCCGCCCTGGCCACTTAGGCCAGGGCGGCTTCAGGGAAGAGCCAGGGAGGGCTCTGATGCCACTGTCTCCTACGTGTTCCCCTCCCTCCCTGCCACCATCCTGACTGCAGTCTCAAAGATCGGAAGGGCCACGCAGGAAGAGAAAAGGCAGTGAAACATGCAAGAGCGAAGACAGGAGAGCAAACCAAGTGAGTGAACCTGCTGCCTGCTGTCTGGCCTCTTTATTCCCCCTCACTATTGAGGCAGGCCTCTGGAAGGGCAGCAGCAGCACACGTGGCTGCGAGAGGAAGAGAAGCTGGGTGAGACTGAGATGCTTTCTGGCTCCCCTCGTCCCGGAACCATCAACCTCGCACTCTTCCCTCTCTTCTAGTGGCTGCCCCCTTCTCACTCTCCCTCCTCATTGTCAAGCAATCCCGTGTGAAGAAGGGGGTAGCTGTTAGCAAGAGAGGGGAGAGTGCCAAGTTAATGCTTCCGGGACAAGGGGAGCAGGAAGGCGTCTGGGTCTGGCATACCTAGCCTCTCTTCCTCTCTCACCCTTTTCTCTTCCCGTGTGGCCTTTCCAATCTTTGAGACTGTGGCCAAGATGGCGGTCGGGAGGGTTTGGAACGCGTGGGAGATGGTGGTATCAGAGCCCTCCCTGGGTCTTCCCCAAAGCTTTCCTGGCCTAAGTGGATGATCCCGTGTGAAATTGCCCAGTGATCCCATATGAAGAAGGGGGCATCTGCTAGCAGAGAGGGGACAGTGTGAAGGTGGTGCTTCTGGGATGAGGAGAACTGGCTGCTGATGTTCACCCGCCCTCCCTCCAGCCCAGGAACATGTGGCTGCATTGGCAGCATCACCCCTCCGCCAGCCAGTCCTCCCTCTCCCACCTGCGCCCTTCCGCCTTACCTTTACAGCAGCAGTGGTGCGGTGAGCATTAAACTGTTGAAATGAGAAAAACTGGGAAGTGCGGCTTGATGGTGGAAGATAAGGGTGATGGCTGGAGGAGGGGAGGGGAGATGTGGGTGGTGCAGCCTTGCGGTAGGTGAGGCACCTACCCAGGGCCCCCATCGGCTGGGAAAAGCCAGCCACACGGGGAGTGGCTGGGAGGAGATGGGCAAGGGGCAGGGCTAAATTCCACCACTTTGCGGGCCAGATACATTTGGTCGGCGGGCTGTATAACCGTTCGCGGGCAATAGTTTGAGGACCCCTGCGTTAGGCCATTGTTTGTTATTTTCCCTAATGTATAAAAATGCTAACTATTTAGAGGGCCTGATCTTTATTTCTGACCTCTTTGAAACAGTTGGAAGCATAACTGAGTCTCTTCTGATGACCTGGCATTTTGAAAAATCTGCTCTAGAGGATTGATGGTTTCTCTGGAATAGATGACATACAGGCTACATAGGGAAGGGCAAAGTCAGCCCAGACTTTTTCCTTGGAGAGCTGCAACTAAACTATTAAACTTGATTCAGTGGAATAGATGGAATTTTAAACTTGAATACTGTTTTGATATATAGTACATTTATTTCTTATTTCAGTTACCTGGAAATTTACAATGAGCGTGTCAGGGATTTACTGAGGCGCAAGTCTTCAAAAACAAATAATTTAAGAATTCGTGAACATCCAAAGGAGGGACCTTATGTTGAAGGTGGGTTTTAAATAATGTATACAGTTTCATTTATTGATTACCTGTGTGTATGTATGAATACAGAAATCTATCTTGGTTATAAACCTCTATGATCCTTAGTAAGTTTTTGTAGCTTCACCCTAATCACTTGGTAAATTTCAACGGGTTTTTTTATTATTTCTGGAGTTGATGTTCTGTTAACTGATTGGAAATGACTGATGAGTCTGCCATATAAATTAGGCAGTTGTGATAGAAGAGCACTTATTAGAATATAATTGGCATAATATATTCTTTTCCAGTTTATGCCATGGTGCATTAAAAATAAAAAATGTTTAGGAAGACTGCAGATTTCTTTTCAGGTTGATGATCCCTACATTTCAGGTTGTGAATCCCTATATTCCCTATATTGAATCCCTATATTCACACCAGACGTTCTCCTGCAATATCTCTCTCTCTCTATATATATATATCTACACACATACACATATACATACAATACAAATACATAGTATACATAAGTATGTATGTATGTATGTATGTATGTATGTTCATCCATGTAGCTGTTACATTGTTTTCTCTACTTCTGTGCAGTAGCACTGAATTAGAAATACTAATAGGAAGAGAATACTAAAGTTAAGATGACCCACATAAAGAAATTTGCTTTCTTCAAGTAAAAAAAAAAAAATGAAGATGAAGCAAGAGGGGAAGGAGGGGGAAAGCAGTAGAGTACAAGAGATATAGAAAGTCTAACTATTTGCCAATGCTTAAGGAAGTTTGGAACCCACTTCTGATAACTTTAGGAAAGAAAAAAAGGAAACTCTGTATTTATCTGCAATAATTATATTACTAACAGCTGTTAAAATGTACTATTAATTTGAGATCTGTTTGTGTCTTATGTTTAATTGATTAATACCTAAACATCTTACTTATATTTTTTATTTTTTTTCCAGATCTGTCAAAACACTTAGTACAAAATTATAGTGATGTAGAGGAACTTATGGAAGGAGGGAATATAAATCGAACCACTGCTGCAACTGGAATGAATGATGTTAGCAGCAGATCCCATGCCATTTTCACAATCAATTTCACTCAGGTAAGAAAAAAAAAATCCTGGTGAATTTTACACTGAATTATTGAGTTGCAACTCTTTCCTCTTTGAGGAAAAAAATAAAATAAAATATTTGCCTTTCTAATAAATTAAATGGCAGTTCATCCTTCCCTGATATGTGTAAATGGTATAGTATGTATACAATTTGTGACTGGATATGAGAATTTCTTTTAGTTTTACTTTTAACATCACATTTGATAGGAATGTGGAAGAACGATAGCATTTCTTTAATGCCTTTTCCCTAACTCTATACGTGCCTGCTTGTCTGTTTAATCCTATTGTTAATTACACAGGGTTGTTTTTTTAAAAAAAACTATTGGGCTAATATTTGAAATGGGGAATGAGAGCCAGTGGTTAAGGAGCCATATTAAGAGTGGGGAGATCCACGTTCTAGTCCTCCCTTAAGCATGGAAACTAGTTGGGTGATCACAGAGCACTGTCCTTCTTGGCCCTAATCAGCATCAGCCTTTATAAGTCAGATAAAAATTAACATTCTCCATTTTATGCATCTTGCATAAAAATTGTTGGGATATCTAATCAGAGTCTCAGTATCTATTCTGATTATATCAACAAGAGGAAATGGTATTTTTTTTTTCAAAAAGAAATAAATAAACTACCATTTTTAATAGACTGAATACATAGCATTTTATTATTTTATTTATTATTTTACCTAGACTTGTTACTATAGATACATAAATACACAAATTCCATTCTATAAATTTTTCAAGGAATTCCAGCACATTCTATTTATTGTTCAATTCCAGCTTTTGGAGATATGGTTTGGAAAAAGAAGTGATTAAGAATTTTCAAAAAAATTATGGGAAATAAACTGCTGTTTTAAATATATAACTTGAAAACTCATTGGGCATCTTTGCAGTACTGGAATCGTTCTTTATGAATGGGAATTTGCTGTGGAAACTAAAACTCTTATTTTAAGAGCTGTCAATGAAAATATTTGGGTATGGGAAGCTAGGGAATTTTGGTGTCAGGTAAAGACATGGTTGGAAGAGATACTAGATCAAAATATAGATTTGAAACCGGAATTATTCCTACTAGGAATTATAAAAGAGAAACATGTTAAAGGATTGATATACCTAATGCTGCATGTTATAACAGCAGCAAGACTGATTTATGTGCAATACTGGAAAAAGGAGGCAATCCCTCCCGGAAGAAGAAATAATAAAGAAAATTCTGACGTGCAGAAATGGATATGCTGACACTAGAAGTTAAATATAAGGATGAGACAGAATACTATAAAATTTGGAACAAATTGTGCCAATGGTTGGAAAGGAGAAAAGGAGTTGGAACAAAAAAGAGTGAAAGTTTGTAGAACTGACACGGGATAATATTTTGACAAATATGCAAATGAAGACAAGGGATATGTTTATAAGATCAAAGTAGCAATGTATGATAGGTAGTAGTTATATTTGTTGTTATATTAAAAAAATATGTATGTAGATGACAAAACCAGGATGGTCAGACTGTGTCCAATGTTTTTAAAGGGTACTTAATAAAAAACTTTTTTTAAAAAAGAAAGAAAATATTTGGGTATGTTCAAAATGTTAATTCCCAGGCATTTTACACATGCCTTTTTGAAGCGAGTATATTTTGGAAAAGAAAAACAATGTATGTTTAACCTCTTTTTATCTTAGTTAATATGTTTGAAATTAAAAGTACAATTTAAAGGGATTAAGCTATTATTCAAAGGTGATGTCTCTAGTATACTAACATATACAATGCATTAAAATTGAAACATATAAAATGTTTTGCTACCACCTCTGCAACTCTTGTTTTTAATATTCAGAGTATTGATTGTATTTTGTTCTTGTTATTTTTCCGTAGGCTAAGTTTGACACTGAAATGCCATGCGAGACTGTCAGCAAGATACATTTGGTAGACTTAGCTGGAAGTGAGAGAGCAGATGCCACTGGTGCCACAGGTGTCAGATTAAAAGAAGGAGGAAATATAAACAAATCCCTAGTTACTCTGGGAAATGTAATTTCTGCCTTAGGTATATCCCTTGCTTTATGTTTAATTCATTGCAAAACTGAATTAACTCATTATCTATCCCTCTATAAAAATGGCTTGGTTTTTTTTTTTCCATAGCTGATATATCTCAGGATGCCTCAAACCCTCTTATAAAGAAAAAACAAGTATTTGTGCCTTACAGGGATTCTGTGTTGACATGGCTTTTGAAAGATAGCCTAGGAGGAAATTCTAAAACAATAATGATTGCAAGTAAGTGTGTTTTCTTTTATGTGAAAGTTCTTCTATCTATTTTAGAAAAGTTTTCTGTAGATTAAATTGACTAGCATGGCATATAGTGTGATCATTAAACATTTGTACTGAGAATACAATATTGTTATATTATTTTTAATAATGTAACCTTTATGTCTAAGCTTAATTATGGGCCTACATAGAAGTGGAGAACAAATAATGAAGAGTCAATTTATGTTATAATACTCTTCATAATAATTTTCAAGGTCCTACAAAATTGTAAGGAAATAATATCTTTTAGTAGACATTTGAAGTCATTCACAAGCTAGTGAAATATAATAAACTTCCCATTAGAGCCATGTGTCAAAATGACAACTCCATTAATAATTTTTCATAAACGCCATTCTGGCCATAGCAGCAAAAGGAACCATTTGCTTTTTCTCTACTCATAAGGAGCTTTTAAGACTTCTAAATGAAACTTAGTATTGATATCACGTAATTTTGAAATCCTTTTTCTCAGCTATATCACCTGCTGATGTTAATTATGGAGAAACATTGAGCACCCTTCGCTATGCAAACCGAGCTAAAAACATAATCAACAAACCTACCATTAATGAAGATCCAAACGTCAAGCTAATTCGTGAACTACGAGCTGAAATTGCCAGACTGAAAACTCTGCTTGCTCAGGGGAACCAGGTTAGGGATAGCAGTGATTTCACAATCTCAAATAACATCTTCTGTTTTAAATTATACTAACGTGTATACTATATACTAACATTTCAGGACTAAATGTTTCTTGACAAAACTTGCCTCTGGATAAGAGACAGTTTAGGGCAGTGTTGAATGTTAGGTTAATCCCCAAAATAACATCTATTACTGTATATGTTAATCAGCCATCAGGCAGTTTAGAAATAGATAACTTACTTCACATTTTTTTAAACATTGAGGCTTGTGTTTTGTGGTCTGTGCTTTGCATAGAGAAAAAGAATAGACTTGGGTCCTCTGTCTTTGGCATTTGAGGTAAGCAATTTTAGCCATGAGCTCTTTATCTCTCACGCAAGGAAAACATTGTCTGTTAAAGAAGCTTGACCAAGTCTTTCTTCAGGATAAAAAAAATTAAACATGGTGGTGGCACTTCTTCCAAATCTTGATTTCATAATTCCTTATTGAAGCATCACTATTCTCTGTTCTCTAATTCTTTACGTCTATATTTCAGTAATTCTTTACATCTTAGTCTTTGATACCTCAACGGCTTTGCCGGCTGATAGGTCTGGGCTTGAAAAACAGTGTATTTATTTTAAAAAGGCAGTAATTGATGTTGTGATTAGTAGAGAAATTGAATGAGCTAAACTTTATGTTAGAGTTTCTATGTGTATTCAGTGGGGAGTAAAGAGAGATGCAGTGCTTCCCCCGCCGATCTGCAAAACCAGAAAGGTTGGGGAGCCTTTGAATCAGAGGTGGGCTTAAAGAATTGCAAACAGATGCAGCATTCCTTTCTCTGCTCTCCCAATTTTTATTTTTTTTTGCATTTGAATCCAAAATGCAGTGGCACAGTACAAGAGGGCAATTGCGTAAGAATACACAATCAAATGTTATTTGATATTGGTGGTTTGTAAACTTATCTGTGGCAAGTCTTCACAGCCACAGTTTTACAAAAGCATTCACAACAATATCCATCGGAATCCAGATATAAGGTTCCAACTTTAGATGACATTTATGGCTGCTTATTTTATTTCTACTACTAGTAAAGAAATGAGTGAGAAATCATCATTTTTATAATTATTCCTGAAGTGGAAGAAACAATTATATAAATGGCTTCAAATTTAATTGAATATATAATTACAATTAAGCCAAAGATGCAATTCCAGTAAATTAGAATTTGCTCACAGAAATTCCCAGATTAACCCATGACATCTCCAGCAAGTGATAGGAAAGCTCTTTTCCCACCTAAGACCCAGAAGAAATAGTACTGAGTTAAATAGACTATAAGCATAAGGATAAAAATGATATATGCAGTGTTGTCTCAAGGGTTTTGTGGCTCCCTGTGTTTTTTTTTTTTCTGTAGGAAATGGGTCCAAATAGTTCTTTGAGTGTTTAAGGTTGTAGACCCCTGGTCTGGTGTGTGTGTGTGTGTGTGTGTGTGTGTGTGTGTGTGTGTGTGTGTGTAAAAGGCAGCACTGATCATTGATCACAACAGCATAAGAACAGGCAGTAAGCACCAGTTCCATAGAAGCAGGGATTTACCACACTAGGTAGAACCCAAGGGGTAGATCAGTATTTCTCAGCTGAAAGATGTATGGACTTTAACTCCCAGAATTCCCCAGCCAGCCATCAAAGAGTTTCCACAGAAGATCGTGGAGAATAATAGAGCTAAGAATCTGTGGGAGTTCTGGATCCAGAAGGACAGGTAGGCATTAGATAATTAACCAGACACTGTAGTAGTAGACAAATCAATAGAAAAAGACCAGAAGAGCTCAGGAGGCCAGGCAAGCGGGATGAGGCGCCCCCCCCCCAACGTGAGTGATGTGGAGTTAGCCACACTCACCCAGCCAATCAGGGCAGAGAACTGGTTGTTAAATTATTTGAATCCTGCCACTGCTTTGAATACAGGAAAAAGTAGCCTATAACAAAAAATCCTGCACATCAGATGCCATAAATCTCCTTCTCGCCTATTTAAAGATTAATTGTACAGTTATTTTCAGAACAGTAACATTGAACACCATGTAGCACATTTAATGTGTCTTGTTATTCTAATAGTTTGTTTTATCTGTTTAACTAGATAGCACTTCTGGATTCTCCAACAGCTTTGAGTATGGAAGAAAAGCTGCAACAGAATGAAGCACGAGTAAGTTTTACCTTATCAGTACCTCAAACACCAATACTTTTAGACTAGTTCCTATTTATACATAAATTAATTATGTGTCAACAAGTCATTATGAACTATCACTGTAAATAGACCTTCTTGAGGATGACCTGTCACCAACTAGGACCCCGCGCATCCTAAGTGCACCTATTCCTGATGTAATGAAGTTCATCCATCTTGATTAAACCCGGGCATTTTATGGCATGTGCCCCACATCCAGCCCTTTGTCTGTTCCTATCTGGTCCACAGCAGTGGCAGGGGACAGTGCGGTGGTGGCAGGATGGTGGTGGCTGCAGCCCTCCACAACTGTCCCAGTTTCTCATGTGGTCCCTTGGAAAAATTAATTGCCCACTCCAGAACTTGATGATGGGTTATGCTTTTTTTCTTCCACCTCTCCCAGCATTATAGATTTCTCGAGGGAGCTGGATCTTAAATATACTGTAACCAAAGTTTAATTTGAGTCTGGTTGTCCCTCAAATGAGAACTCCAGATTGATTTATTCTGTGTTCTGTTTGTTTTATTGGCTATCCATGGCATTCTCAAGGTCTTCCCCAACACCATAGTTCAAAAGTATAAATAGTATTTCTATCCTACTTCTTCAAAGTCCAATTTTTGCTTCCATTCAGTGTCACCTATGTGCAAGTAATCCTTGATTTAAAATAGTTCATTTAATGACTGTTCAAAGTTACAACGGCACTGAAAAAAGTGACATGACTATTTTTCACACTTATGGCCGTTGTAGCATCCCCATGTCACAAGATTTACATTTGGATGCTTCACAACTTACATTTATGACAGTTTCAGTGTCCCAGAGTCATATGATCCCTTTTTGCAGCCTTCTGACAAGCCAAATCAACAGGAAAATCAGATTCACTTAACAAAAATGTGACAAGAAAAGTCACAAAATGGGGCAAAATTCACTTAACAAATTTCTCACTTAACAACATAAATATTGGGTTCCATCGTGGTTGTATGTTGAGGACTACCTGTATATACAGATACTCCTCATTTAGCAACCACAACTGAGACTGGCAATGCTATCTCTAAGTGGAATTGTAACTGAGTTTACAATTTTACTTCAGTTTTCCTTTTTTCTTTACCCTATGGGATGCTAATCCCAATGCTGGGATAATTAGCACGTAGGGAATTAATGTTTGTATATACAGTGGGGCAAAAAAGTATTTAGTCAGCCACCAATTGTGCAAGTTCTCCCCACTTAAAAAGATGAGAGAGGCCTGTAATTGACATCATAGGTAGACCTCAACTATGTGAGACAAAATGAGAAAACAAATCCAGACAATCACATTGTCTGATTTGGAAAGAATTTATTTGCAAATTATGGTGGAAAATAAGTATTTGGTCAATATCAAAAGTTCATCTCAATACTTTGTTATATATCCTTTGTTGGCAATGACAGAGGTCAAACGTTTTCTGTAAGTCTTCACAAGGTTGGCACACACTGTTGCTGGTATGTTGGCCCATTTCTCCCATGCAGATCTCCTCTAGAGCAGTGATGTTTTGGGGCTGTCGCTGGGCAACACGGACTTTCAACTCCCTCCAAAGGTTTTCTATGGGGTTGAGATCTGGAGACTGGCTAGGTCACTCCAGGACCTTGAAATGCTTCTTACGAAGCCACTCCTTTGTTGCCCGGGTGGTGTGTTTGGGATCATTATCATGCTGAAAGACCCAGCCACGTTTCATCTTCAATGCCCTTGCTGATGGAAGGAGGTTTGCATTCAAATCTCACGATACATGGCCCCATTCATTCTTTCCTGTACACGGATCAGTCGTCCTGGTCCCTTTGCAGAGAAACAGCCCCAAAGCATGATGTTGCCACCCCCATGCTTCACAGTAGGTACGTGTTCTTTGGATGCAACTCAGCATTCTCTCTCCTCCAAGCACGACGAGTTGTGTTTCTACCAAACAGTTCTACTTTGGTTTCATCTGACCATATGAGATTCTCCCAATCCTCTTCTGGATCATCCAAATGCTCTCTAGCAAAGAGAGAGGAGAGAGAGACGGGCCCGGACATGTACTGGCTTAAGCAGGGGGACATGTCTGGCACTGTAGGATCTGAGTCCCTGGTGGCGTAGTGTGTTACTGATGGTAGCCTTTGTTACGTTGGTCCCAGCTCTCTGCAGGTCATTCACTAGGTCCCCCCATATGGTTCTGGGATTTTTGCTCACCGTTCTTGTGATCATTTTAACCCCACGGGGTGAGATCTTGCATGGAGCCCCAGATCGAGGGAGATTATCAGTGGTCTTGTATGTCTTCCATTTTCTAATCATTGCTCCCACAGTTGATTTCTTCACACCAAGCTGCTTGCCTATTGCAGATTTAGTCTTCCCAGCCTGGTGCAGGTCTACAATTTTGTTTCTGGTGTCCTTCGACAGCTCTTTGGTCTTCACCATAGTGGAGTTTGGAGTGTGACTGAGGTTGTGGACAGGTGTCTTTTATACTGATAACAAGTTCAAACAGGTGCCATTAATACAGGTAATGAGTGGAGGATAGAGGAGCCTCTTAAAGAAGAAGTTACAGGTCTGTGAGAGCCAGAAATCTTACTTATTTGTAGGTGACCAAATACTTATTTTCCACCATAATTTGCAAATAAATTCTTTCCAAATCAGACAATGTGATTGTCTGGATTTGTTTTCTCATTTTGTCTCTCATAGTTGAGGTCTACCTATGATGACAATTACAGGCCTCTCTCATCTTTTTAAGTGGGAGAACTTGCACAATTGGTGGATGACTAAATACTTTTTTGCCCCACTGTATGTATGTATGTATGTGTATATATATATATATATAGGAGAGGGACAGATGATTAAATAGCAGTAGCACTTAGACTTATATACTTACCGCTTCACGGTGCTTTACAGCCCTCAGCATGTTGCTCCCAACAATCTGGGTCCTCATTTAATCTACCTCAGAAGGATGGAATAGGCACACAATGGGGAATACACATTGATAGAACTGGTCAGGCACAGGAGAGATTGCCTGCCAAACTATCTCTGTTTTCAAACTGATAATAGCCTTCTCATTTTCCAGGCTTGTTCAGCTGCTTTGGCGCCTGCTCCTGGCAATCTCTGAATACTTATGTATGCACATCTTTGATCCACATAGTTTCTGAGCCCTGGCAAGATGATCCAGGTGTAGACCCCTGCAGAGTTGTTTAACCCATTAACTTCAGGCATTTAGTTCTATGTGCTTTCACGAGTAAGAAAAAGATACTTATATTAATTAGTAATTTATGTATACTGATTGGTATAAATACTATACTATAAATATAAATAAACACTATGAAATCATTGATTCAAAATAACCCCAGCAGGCATAATTACTGACAATCCGTATTTACATTGTAAACTCTTCTATTTAATGTAGTAAAAATAATTTTGCAGCAAAGCTTTTAATGTCCAGATTGAGATAAAAACTGACTTTTGTTTTAATTAAGTGCATTTTAATACTATTGTCTAAAAATATTAGTACTGAATAAGGTCCATGAGATTACTCATGATACAGTAATGTTGAGTGGATAATCCAAATACTTGGAAAACAGTCAGAAAATAATTGGTAATCAGTTCAGATTTGAATATAATCTGTGTGTATTATTTTGGTTTATTTTATAGGTGCAAGAGCTTACCAAAGAGTGGACCAACAAGTGGAACGAAACTCAAAATATTTTAAAAGTAAGCGGTAAAACATTTCATTTCCTTCAAAGTTTCAATTTAGAAATGAGTTCTTAAAGTGTATTATGTGCTTGTTTATGGACTTTACTTATGATTTGTAGAGTGCAATCTTGTTCAAAGTGTTGTATAATATAATTTTATCTAAATTTGTTCAGAGATAAAAGTCCAAGATTGTTGTCATTTATATTATACATTCTCTTTCTTGGAAAATTTACATTAGAAGCTTGGGAGATAACTTGAATAATAAATCTTTTAATGTAAGATAAAGTAAACGACAACCAAGATGTTCTCAGGATAGTAAATAAGATATTATAAAAATGAATATACGCATGTAATTAATATTTGTGATGTTTATTTCTTCCATTAAGTTGAACAGATATGAAAAAATTCAAAACTTTATGAAGCAGGTTCAGGAAATTAGAAATCTAAGATGGGTATTTGTGCAATAGATACATTTTACTTGTGTGTCTTTGTGACCCATAATACTTTCAAAAAGGCAAAAAACATGATTGAGAAAAACTTTTCTTTATGGCTCTTCTCTGCTCAAGAATAATATGGAATAACAATATTGCCTAGTCATTTTCATCTAAAGGCATAAACCCAAGCAAGAAATGTTGTGTGTATGTATCTCTATGTTAAAAGGTGATCAGGTATTATTAAAGGATTTTAGTACCATGAAATGAATGGTATTACTAAAGTAGATTTTAGTACCATGAAATGAATAAAAAATGTATCAATCCAAAGGAGCAATAGCACAATTTTTATTATGACCAACTTAAATTACAAGAGTGAGCAAGCTGTTTAGCTGTTCACTATTATCGATTTCAGGCTCTGTGCTAAGTTTTAAAAAAATGGAACAAGAGGTATGGCTGGATTTAATAAATGCTCACCCCCTTACAGTTTGTAATAATTAAAGTTATAATGATGGATGTGATCAGCTGAATTAAGTAGGCTGGGGCAGGCTTGATACTAAATGATCATTGTACCACGAATTATAAAGATATATGGCTGCTTTCTCATAGAAAATATAAAAACAAGTTTCTCACTAGATCTAGTCACAGCAGATAAATAAAATCATGGCTTATATTAATAACAAAATAAGTGTTGGATTGTGGTGGTAAAACCCTCCCATTAATTCTTATTAGAATATGTAATGGATTGTTTCTAGTTACTGGAGGTCTATCTGGTCACAGGAGGTCTATAGGATTGCATCTATAAATTGATCAAAATAATAGTGAATTGAAACACTTGTCTAGTATTAGCATGCTGTTTATGCAGTCAAGGGAAGGAGAGGAAAGGAAAGGAAGGGAAGGGAAGGGAAGGAAAAGGCAAAGGGAAAAGGAATAAACATTTTCTCTACATTCCTTCTATTTCTATTTCAGCAGTCCGGCCTGGCCTAACCTCTCTTTTAAATTGTTTTTAAAAAATTTTTAAATTTTTAAATTTTAAACTTGTCTTATGAATTTGGGGTGTTTTAAATTTTGTTTTCCGAGCCAATTATTTAATTGTATTTTAATGGTTTTTAACATTTATATTATATGTATTTTATTCGGCTGTTCACCGCCCTGAGTCCTTCGGGAGTAGGGCGGTATACAAATTCAATAAATAATAAATAATAATAAAATAATTCCCCATTTGATTTATAGGTAGGTGATATGGCTCTAAAAGCACTTCCTTCATTCACATTTGTCAAATCACCAATATTCATATCTAGAAATGTAGTCTGGTATGCTCACCTCAAGGGTTGAATTGGGTTTCATATTTAAAACAAGTGATATTTCCTCTTTTCTGCTCTCTCTTGCTCTCAATTCTGCCATAACCACATGTATGGCACCTTATTTGCCAGCAACATAATGATTTCAGACTTCAAGATACACAGTCTGGAAATGCAATGTTGAACTGAAAACTAACTGGCAGATGGCATAGCAGAATGTACTGATTTGTTTAATTTCTGTCTAAAAATTGAATTGGGAATAAAAATATCCATATAACTCAGAAATGTGCAATTTCTTCATTAGAGGAGATTTATAATATTCCCTCTTCTTCATCTTCTTCATCTTTTTTTTTTACTAAGCTGGTTAACGTATTTGGTTTCTCCCTTCTCATTTTGATGTGGCAGTCATTTTGATGTGGCAGCTTATGTTTCACATTTTAACTTATATTTGATATAACACATCAATATGCTTGCTTGAGGGGAAATGGAAACATCAGCTAATATATCTGTTCACTATTGCATGCTTTAACTGTCTTTGGTAGAAACGGAATTTAAGTATTTGGTTAAAATATACTGCATCCAAAATATGAAATAAGCTGGAAATTCTGGCTTTGCAAAAACTATGTTGATTTCTAAGGTATTTGCAGTAGAAAATCAGTATTTTCTTTCTGTCTATTTAATTTCCACTATATTCTTATGTTGAAATGGAATGACATATATGTAATTCTTTCTAAGATGACATATACATATCCTTACCTTCTTTGTAATACCCCAATAGATGATATAAAATAGAAGAATATCAGCCATTAGTTTGGCAATTGGTATGCTTAACATCAAACTGTTAAGATTAACTTCTGGTGTGAATGAAAAGTCAAACTCAGTAAATCAAAGGGAAGAGCTAAAATTTCTGATCTCATAGCCCCTCTAAACGAAAGCTGAGGAATATACAAATACTAGGTTTAGACTTCCGGTTGGTGACTCGTGGTGTCATGGCGTGGTGAGAGTGATCGCTCTCTCCCACTGCCACTTAACGCAACGTTTTGGGGACCGTTCGAGGCGTGGAAGCCTGGAGGGTTTCGCGGACAATAGTGGGGCTTCGGTGAGTCGAGTGGTGGAGCGCAAACCCACCCGGCGCGACCGATTTCCACTGTCAAGCTAACGGGGCGCGTCTGCCTCTAAATGGCAGACTCGAAGTCATGATAGCCAACAAGAGGGGAAGCAAAGATTCCGGGAAAGAGAGGCGAGCGCACTCGTAACCACTTTCTCAGAGCGCGCCTGAGATCGGCAAAGCTTCGCTGGCTGGGTCGGAGTGGAAGGGCTCATAAGAGGAAAAAAGCGGCGATTGAAAGAGAGGAGGAGGATTGACAGCTAAAAAGATCGCAGACAGGCCGGCAAGAAAGAAGGAGGAAAGATCGACAAGCGGAACAGCGGCACTACCTTTTTGGATTAATTTGCTGTATAGATCGAGCGCTGAGGACGTGGGGAAGAGATTCTGCTGACTGGAGAGGAGAACGACCGGAAATTTAGGACCGGAAGTGCAACCATACTTAATACCAATGAGAAGAACAACGAAGAGCTAGAGAGGAAAGAAGGAGCACCAGGAAGAGATAAACAGAACAATCAAACTTACTTTTACAAAGTGTTGGAGATCTTGAAGAAGCGAGAAGTAGAAGGGTGATACTAAATTAATGTACCTTCCTGCATAGACTCTAACAAGTGTGGTACTTGAAGGAACTAAGGAGAACTGAATTTACATTTATATTAATACATATTGTTATTAGTTTAAAAATAGTCTAAAATTATAATATATACATATTTATTCTCCTTTCTTTTGTTTCTCTATACATTTAAAGTATTTAAAATATCTATATAAGTATTCAAAATATTTAAAGCACCTATATATTCAAAGTATTAAAAGTAGTAATACAATATAGCTAATTAATATATTTAAATATCTGTATAGACATATTAGAATCTACTCTCTTCTATTTATCTATTTATCTATATACCTATTTATTTATAATATTCACTTAACTATCTATCTAACTATTTATATATCACTTATTCATTAGATACCTTTTTGTCTTGTTTTTCTATTTTCCATTGCATAGAGTGGCTATTGATTGATTACTGTGTTTAATATTACCAAGGATTAATTTTTATAAAATAGTGATTGATTCTATAACATCAATTAATTAAGTGCTTACTGATCGGACACTGAGTATTAATGTATTGATTATATATATTTATATATATTTGTACTGAAAGGATTTATCATTATTATTACTTTTTTTTCTGTTTAAGAATTGAGAATCTAATTAATTAATAATCAGGAGTTAAATTAAATAAGAAACACAGTTCCTAAATATTGATTAGTCAACAAAGCTAAGTAGTGGGCAGTATAGCGGAGAAAAGGTCGACTGTATTATTACTACCTGTCTTGTAAATTGGGAATACCCCCCAAAAAAATTCTCTTCTTAGTCTTGGTAAATTAAGCAAGGGAAGTCAATTAGTGGATGACTGTTTGGAGTAACATAGAAAGGATAGTCAAAGAACAGGCGAAAGTACTGAGGAAGATGACAAGTTTTGCATCCACTGTGGCAAAAACAGGAAAGAAAGTAACTCCCAGCGTGTCAAGTCCTACAATTATAATGTTGTCCCCTGCAACCCAAAAATCGATAGAGGGGCTACCCAAAATTGAGAAATCATCAGTGATTCCAACAATGCAAGCGATGCAGTCGTCATTAGCAATGATTCAAGAGACAATGCTCTTAATGCAAGAGAAAATGTCAAATAACCATCAGGAAATAAAAACAGACATACAAGGCATTGACCAAAAAATGAGTGACATACAACAAGCCATACAAAAGAACGAACAGAGAATACAAAAAATAGAATCCAAGGTGGAACAACAAGAGAAAGATCTAGAGACAGTAGATCAAAAATTAATGGCCCAGAACAGAGATTTGGAGGATTCGATTACGCAGTTGGAAATGGATAGGGCTTCTTTCTATCTGCGTTTCCAAAACGTTACAGAAGACAAGGATGAAAATTTAGGCCAAGTAATGGCTGAATTAATAGCAGAGGTGCTCCAACAGGATACAGACGATATAATAAAAGAATTGGACGAGGTGTACAGAGTACAGACGAACTACGCTAGATGGAATAAACTACCCAGAGAGGTACATATAAGGTTCGCAAGAAAGAAAGTTAAGGATATTTTTTATAAAATGGTAAAAGAAGAACCGATCAATTATAAGGAAAAGGAGGTGGTTGTCCTGAAGCA